GCTGCTGCTGCTGTTGCCATTGCAACTGCTGCAACGCAGCAACAAAAAAGAAAAGAAAAGCTCTTTGATCATTTGCCATGAGAAATGGCGCTACCCTAACAACGGCTCTGCCTCTCCTCAACGGCTGCTCAGCTGCTGCGGACTATGCTCATCTGCTGCCGCTGGCGCTGCTACTGCTGCTGTCGCTGCTGCTGCTGCTGCTGCTCTGTTGATAACAAAGTTTTTGCACTCTCACGCAAAGCTCTGCTCCTGGATAAAAAGGATGCGCGCTGCCAGCACACTTTCAGTTGGATTCTGAGCGAGGCAGCGGCAACAGCCCAAATTGAAGAAGCACCAGAAGTCGGAGATAAAACTATATATATATATGTATATATATATATATGACAACGCAGCCTGGATGGCCAAGGAGTGCTAGCTAGGAAACTAGCCCAGAGTAGTGTGTGAGCGCGTGTGAGTGTGTTGTGAGTGAGTGAGTGTGTGTGTGTGTGTGTATGTGTATACATACAATTCAATTTGTTTAAGTGTGCGAGCCGCGAAAGAAAAGTGGAAAAGTGGAAGTGCGTGTACTCCTCTCTTTCTCTCTCTCTATCTCACTCTCGGTGGTCATGCAATTGGCTGGCATAGCCAAATAGTTGACTGTTCACGGCACACAAATTTCAAGCGCAGCGTGCACCACCGTGGTTTGAGCCAGCGACGCACTAGACGCCACGCACAACCGTCGCACTGGCGTCGTTTTGTGAGCGCGGCTTGATGCCCGACTCGATGATGGATATGGAGCATCGGGATCATCAGCTGCATCGTCCACTTCCTACACAGCAGACGCACCGTGTGGTGGCCACCAGCAGCACCAGCACATTTGCACCGCCAGCGCCAGCGCCCACGGCGACCGTTGAGGCGGCATCAACGACAAGCGACAGGGACCACCAGCTGCCCATAACAGGCACACCAAGCATGCAGCACCATCACCAGCAGCCACAGCAGCAGCTGCCGCCGCCTCAGCAGTTGCATCTGCAACAGCAACAACAGCCACCTCAATTAAGAGAACGCGAACACCACCAACAGCAACCACAGCAGCAGCAGCAGCAAATGCAGCAGCAGCCAATCCAACAACAGCAGCAGCAGCAGCAGCAGCAGCTACCGCTGCCACACAGCCATCATGCGTTGATGCAGCAATCGCATCAGCAGCAGGCCATACACAGAGCCGAGCAGCGACGAGGTGAGTGAGGAAGAGTGCATAGTGCAAATGCCTGGGAAATGCCTGTACATATATTAATAAACATATATACACGGATACATAAATATATATATAACTAATTGTGTATATATCAAAAAGAAATTGAAGCTGCCTGCTGGCTTTTTTTTTTTTACTTTTATTTTATATATATTTATTTTTTTTCAGTTGAAAACATTCTTTACGAACTTGTTGCGCGGCTGCCCTCAAAAATATGCTACACAATTTTTGAAGCGCTGCTTTTTAATATCTTTATGAATTCTAAATGTACATAGAAATCTACGAGGGTAGTCTGAAGAATTGGTGAGCTTGGCATAGCGCAAGACTAAGCTCTATAAATGATTTAGTTTATTTTCTCCACTTGATTTTAATAGTCTCTTTTATCACTTCCCATTAAGTTCACTCATTATATTTAAGTTAGCTCAGACATAGAATTTTTTCGTTCGCCCTCGCATTTATTTTTAATGGCAATCTTTGTTGCCAATTTCATTAGCGTAAATGGCAAACGTTTTGCACTCACTTCACTCAACAGGCTCATCATTTATTGATGCTATTTCGCTGCCAACTGATCAGAAAAAAAGCTGAGCGGAAACTTCTCATATACAAAGTATATATTCTCCAAGTCGTGCCAGCTAATCATATATCTGTGTGTGTATGTGTGAGCCTAATATATCATCTTGTATGCACGCTAATCGCTTCATTAGGCTGAACAAAAGGGTTGGCAGCCGTAAAGCCAGGCTTAAACACATTTTTTGGCATGCACGCATTTTGCATGCAAAATTCAATCAGAGTGCCTCGACAAGAAACCCACACACACACACACACATACAGAGGCTCGTATATAACAAGAGAAACGGCAACAGCAACAGCAACATCAGCCGCAACAACAAAAATAACAGCAGAAACAACAACAACAACAACAACAACAACGTGACCCATTTTCAACGTAAAGCTTTTTGCCTGGGGCTGCTGTGCTATGACGTATGCGTGCAGGGGCGTGAAAAGAAGGCGTAGCATGTGGGCGAGGCGGTGGAAGGGGGCGGGTGGTCTCTTTGACAACCGCTGGCTGGTCGGTCATTAAAAAATTATGGACCACATGCTGTTTTTTTTTTTTTTTGGCTGGCAGCGCGTATTAACGCAACGCATTTACATTCAAGAATTATCATAAGCGCCAGAACCAATCTCATCTTTATCAAATGAGCTACAAATTTATGCAAAAGTAAGCTAAATATAGCTTAAATATTAAGGTATTACAAAAATGTTTAATGGCCTGGGAGAAAAGTATGAAAATATGAATGGAAATTTCTGCTCGAAATGTAAATGTCATACAGAAGAAAATTATTTGAATAGAGTGAAATGTAAGATATTGAAGAGTGTAAAAATAAAAACAAAAATTAATAAAAAAAATAAAATAAATTGACCAATAACAATACATAGGAATAATTTTATAAAGTCTCTTTTTCGCAGTTCTTAAGTGAATATTCAACTGTAATCAGTGTATAAAATATATACATATTAGACTTTAATCAGACGAATAATATTACAAACTGTGTATATTCATACATACATTAAAACACATGAATACTGTATATATATATGTATATATAGTATACACATATATATGTATATATATATATTGCCTAACTAATTGTAACATTCACTTCTTGAACAATTTACTAATTTAAAGAGGTAAATTTTGTTCCGCCAGCTTACAAACTTCAGCACTTTCTCAACTGATTTACTCTGGCTAAGCTCTTACTTAACTCTATACGTATTGCGGGTGCCTATTTAACCTAGTTTTAAAAGTTAATTTAACCGTAAGCCAACTACTCTACACAGCTAGAGCTCTCTAATGTCTTTCTTCTCTTTTCACCTGCCCACACCGAATGCATTAGCCGACTTAACTCGACTGATTGCGAAAAATGTGACGCAAAGAGCCTAGGATAATATCAATAATACTTTTTGTTCCCCCTCCAACTAATTACAATTTGATGCTGGTTTATTTTTAAATTTAGCTCTATGGCTATAAATCTATTACCACAGCCACAAACACAAACACACACACACAACTGGGAGACCTTCATTTGTCAGCTTTCAACAGACACCTCGTGCCCATTCCCATTCCCATTCCCATCCGCATCCGCATCCACATCCACATCCGCATCCGCATTCTCATCCGCACATTCAAATTCGACGTCAACGCCATTGCAATTATTTTGAAATCAATTTCAATAAAAGTTTCGTGCGGGCCCAAGTTGGTCCTTGGGCAAAATGTTTAACAGCTTGTTGGCTTAACGTGCTCTTCTATAGGTAGTTGCCCACAAATACCCATCAAAGTTGCCATTGCGCCGAGTTTCAGCTATTTGCAGCTTTTGCCACCCAGGCTTTTGGTTTTGATGTCTGTGTGGGTGTGTCTGTGTGTGCGTGTGCCGGTGTCAGTGAGTGTGTGTGTGAGCTCGTTAAAAACACTTTGCTTGACGCTCAGCGCTTGGCATTGTTGCAAGTTCTCAATGAACTGTAATTGAAACCGAAACGGAAAGCGGGCGAAGAGCAAAGCAACAACAACAACAACAAAAAAATTGTAAGCGACACTAATTGCCAGTCGCAGTTGCCAGCCAAAAACCGCAAGACAAACTGTAACTGCAACTGCAACTTCAACGGCCGACATGCGCGGCAACTAGCATTTAAATGCATGGCATGCAACATTTATGATTTTTCGTTTTTGCCGCTTTAGCTTTAGTTCCAATTAACTAATTAGTGGCTTTTGCATGCAGCGAACACGTCATCAAAAATTATGACAACAATCCAAAAATGACAAAAGTAAACTGAAAGAGTATATGCCACGCCCCACGCCCCTACGACCCCACGACTCGCGGCCCCTCCCCTGCTCCGCCCACTCCTCAAGTCCTATTAATTTTTCAAATATATTTGATTTATCGTATTCTTCCAGATACACAAGCAAAACATTCACATGGATTTCTCTATTGTAAGTCGCACAAATTTGGAAAAGCAAATGAAGATTGAAAACAAAATGATATAAAAATAGAATGAATTTGTATTTAAGCTCTGTTTTTTTATTTTAAATATTAATTATTTGCATAAGGTTTTAGCTTTTCATTTATTGGCAAAAGAATTAACAAGAAAACGAAATACTTGAAGATGATTTTCAATGAATCTCTCATGCCAATGCTTGGCCCAGAACTGAAGAAGACAAAAACAAGAATGAAAAAGAAATACAATCTATATCAATTACCCTATCCACATTCCCAACAGACAGAACCATACAAAAATACACAGAACTATAAAGCTTAACTACTTTTTAACTACGATTATTTCCTTATTACATATTTGTTACTTGAACTTCTTTTACTACTACTATCTCTATCTCTAACTTTTTTATGGTACAACTGTCGCGCGCTCCTAAGTATGCTACAGTTTTGTTAGTATTCGTATTTTTTATAAAGCTCCCCGATGCATAACAAAATATTTTTGATATCTCTCTCTCTCTCTCTGTCTCGGGGCCTCGACAACAATAGAAACTTGCGAATTTTTTTGGCTAAACATTTTTTGTGGAAATTTGATATTTGGCATTTGACATTTGACATATTTTTAGCGTCGTCGCGAGATATATACAGCTATATAAGAACATAAATATATGTACATGTTTTGAGTTATATTTTCTTTTCTGTGCGTGTTGTGTTAACTCGATTTGCAGCATTTTCGCTGTGTTGCTTCCATTTTGCGCTATAATTTCTCGTTTTCTCTGCAGCTGACGAGGAAATCAGCGACAAGGCGTCAACATGCGGCAAATTGCTCATATTTCTATCCGTGGCCCTAGTGATAATGACGCTGCCCTTCAGCCTGTTCGTCTGCTTCAAGGTAAGCTCCATTGTCAATCAAATGCAACTCTTTATTCAAACTGCAGTGGGTCACAATTTGTATATATATGCAAAGTGAAAGGACGTGGCTGCAATGGCCATAAGCCAGGGCTTAGCGAGTGACTGACTGACGACCGAGTGGACTTAAGCACGGTTTGAATGAGTGATGGATTGACTAAGTGTGCGCTTAAATGACTAAGGGAGTTACTCATTGAAAATATTAAGAGCGGACTGGCTAACTGGCTTATCATAAGACTTATTGATGAACTGACCTGCCCTCTGATACAGTATCAGTAACTAAATGACGGATTGACCATGGTAGGATTGCTTGATTGACTAACTCTCATATTGAGTGACGGAACAACTGCTAGATAATACATATGAGTATGAAAATATTTACAGACTGATTCAAAAACTTATTGATGGACTGAATTTTAAAAGTTGACTGATTGATTGACTGATTGAAGTGACTGACTGACTGTCTGATTGGCAGAATTAAAGGCTTGCTAATAGATTGAACTGGCTAACTGATTAATACATTTACTAATTAATCAAATAATTTACTGATTGCTTCAGTGCTTGAATAATACAAAAAAAAATCCGATTGTTTGTTACGAAAACTCATTGATTCAGAAAATAACTGATTGACCAACTGAGAGATTGACTAACTGATGAACTCTACTCTCTAACTGAGCATTTAAGTAAATTACTTATGAATAATGCATTAACAGCATACCGAGCAGAAACTATTTGCTAATTAACTGACTAATCGCTGGCCAACACACAGACAGCACGAAGAGTCAGAAAGAAACTTCATTTTCACTTAAATAACTAGCTTATGATAATGCAATTAAAGCATCTTCCGTCTCTCATTGGATTTGGAAATGGAAACATGGAAAATCTGGGTATAAGCACATGTTTTCATTATCGATGGCAAACGCCAAGATAATTTTAGCTCAGCTTATCGTCTGATTGATTTAATTTATGTTCTTCCACTTTTTGTCGAGAAAACTTGGGCAATTAGTTAAAACGAAGCTTAAAAATGCATTTAAATAGAAATAGAGGAAAAAGTGTGCACAGTGATAGATAACAGAAAATGAAGAGGAATTTACTCAGACAGAGATGGATAATAGCTAGTTAGTAATGCATAATACTTTATTATGCATGAAATACCAGCTGAGCTATGCAGATAAATCATTATTAAAAAAAAAAAAAAAGTGCTGCAGCTGCAGGCTAAAGAATAAAATTCGCTAAGAAATTGCAGCTCATGGCCGTTGCTTGCCGAGTTTTCAATTTCATTTTGCACATTTTACTCACGTTTCGCTTTCACCTCTCTCTTTCTCTCACTCCTTTTCTGTCTCTCTCTTTCCGTTTCTCGCTCAATCTCTCTTCTTTTACAGGTGGTGCAGGAATACGAGCGCGCGGTTATCTTTCGCCTGGGTCGACTCATGCAGGGCGGCGCCAAGGGTCCAGGTGAGTGAAGTGCTTGGGTTGGGGAGCGCCTGGGGCTGCAGCTATGCAAATTGAAGTGTCGCTGGCGTCGAGAATTTGTGTTAATAGCTGCACTTGCTCCAAATTAGCGTCGACTTTTTTCATTTTTGGGGGCCACACCGCTGGAGTGGCTGTCACTTTCAACGCTCTACGCTGCCCAGCTGCAGATTATGACTTATAAACTGTTTAAATGCCCTATAATATCTCTGTCTCTTTCTCTCCCTTTCGCTTCTTTATCTCTCTACTCTACTTTGCAGGCATTTTCTTCATATTGCCCTGCATTGATTCATATGCACGCGTGGATTTACGTACTCGCACCTACGATGTGCCCCCACAGGAGGTAAGTCCGTTGCTATTTTCCTTTTCAATTTGGTTTTTTTTTTTGTTTTTTTTTTTTTTT